TTGATAATTTCTGCATTCTGTTAGATCACCTTTCTTTGGAATGGGCACAGATATGGATCTCTTCCAATTGGTCGGCCAGGGAGCTGCCTTCCAAATTTCTTGGCACAGACGAGTGAGGACCTCCCGTGCTTTATCTGTTTGTTGAAACATCTCAACTGGTATTCTGTCAATTCCTGAGCCTTGTTTTTCTTCAATGCTTTCAGTGTAGCTTGGACTTCTTCCTTCAGTACCATCAGTTTTTGATCATTTACTACCTCCTGAAATGGTTGAATGTCCACCAGTTCTTTTTGGTACAGTGACTCTGTGTTATTCCTTCCATCTTCTTTTGATGCTTCCTACATCGTTTCATATTTTCTGGAAAAATCCTTCAATATTGCAGCTCCAGGCTCAGTTCTTTCAGCTTGAGAAATGCCAAGCATGTTCTTCCCTTTTGGTTTTCTAACTCCAGGTCTTTGCACATTTCATTATAATACTTTATTTTGTCTTCTTGAGCCACCCTTTGAAATCTTCTGTTGAGCTCTTTTGCTTCATCATTTCTTACATCTGATTTAGCTACTCTGCAGTCAAGAGCAAGTTTCAGAGTCTCTTCTGACATCCATTTTGGCCTTTTCTTTCTTTCCTGTCTTTTTAATGACCTCTTGCTTTCTTCATGTATGATATTCTTGATGTCATCCTGCAACCCATCTGGTCTTCAGTCATTAGTGTTCAGTGAGTCAAATCTATTCTTGAGATGGTCCCTAGATTCAGGTGGGATGTACTCAAGGTCATACTTTGGCTCTCATGGACTTGTTCTAATTTTCTTCAATTTCTGCTTGTTCTTGCATATGAGCAATTGATGGTCTGTTCCACAGTCGACCCCTGGCCTTGTTCTAACTGGTGATATTGAGCTTTTCCATTGTCCCTTTCCACAGAAATAGTCGATTTGATTCCTTTGTATTCCATCCGGCAAGGTCCATGTGTACGATCACCATTTTTGTTGTTGGAAAAGGGTATTTGCAATGAAGAAGTCGTTGGTCTTGGAAAATTCTATCATGAGATCTCTGATATCATTTCTGTCACCAAGGCCATATTTTCCAACTACTGATCCTTCTTCTTTGTTTCCAACTTTCAAATTACAGTTACCAGCAATTATCAGTGCATCCTGATTGCATGTTGGATCAATTTCAGACTGAGAAGTTGATAAAAATCTTCCATTTCTTCATTTTTGGCCTTAGCGGTTAGTACGTAAATTTGAATATTAGTCATATTAAGTGGTCATCTTTGTAGGCATATGGATAGTATCCTATTACTGACAGCGTTATACTTCAGGATAGATCTTGAAATACTCTTTTTGACAGTGAATGCAACACCATTCCTCTTCAATTTGTCACTCCTGGCATAGCAGACCATATGATTGTCTGATTCAGAATGGCCAATATCAGTCCATTTCAGCTCAGTAATGCCTAGTATAATTGATGTTTATGGGTTCCATTTCATTTTTGATATCTAATTTTCCTTGATTCATACCTCGTACATTCCGTGTTCTGATTATTAATGGATGTTTTCAGCTGTTTCTTCTCATTTTGAGTCGTGCCACATCAGCAAATGAAGGTCCTGAAAGCTTGACTCCATCCACATCGTTAAGATTGACTCTACTTTGAGGAGGCAGCTCTT